TGTAGTTGTTTTGAGTGTTCGGTCCTTTTTGGTGTTGCTCTGCTTTTTAATAAATTCCTTTTTTTATAGTACCTCTGGCTGAATTCCGGGTCCACTGCCGTGATTCATCACAAAATGTTTACATTTCTTTATACAAGACGTGATTTTTATTTGAAGGCAGTATTGTTTTGTCTGTGTGCCATCGATTTTTTTTTTATTTATTTTTTTATCTATTCATATTTTTCAGTTGAATGGACTCGGGGACAAATGCAAATAAGGGCCATGGTAGAGAATACAACAGATTTTTTTCTTTTTTTTCTTACTTTACTATTTCAAAGCAGTGATCCATAGGATCATAGCGCAGCACAGCAATGCATTTTCGGTATATTATTATATGCATGCACTTTCATTTATCTTTATAAGTTTATTAATATGTACTGGCTACCTTGACCGGGTCGGGTTCGGTCGCCCGCTGGCTCCCTGCCCCCAGCCACCGGGGTTCCAGGACCAGCCCCGGAGCTCACGGCTTGGTTCGAATGCCCTGTGCGTTTCGACTACATGCTGACGATTTTGAAATTCCCGCCGGACATTTTTCTAGGTATGAAAAGTAGGACATGTCAACCATTACCAAGACTTCTATACTGCAGTTTTACTGGCTTTGGGTATTAACACGGACGCAACAGTGGCTGCTTATGCGTAACGTCCCCAGTCAGCAGGGTTACAAGATGTCACTGACTCACGTTTTTAAGCCCAAAAAAACGCCTGGATATATGAAATCTCTCCCAATTTGAACCAAAGTCTATTGATCTTAGCCAACCTGGCAACAATGCACGTAAGATGGGAAACGTTAGCCTTTAGATGCAAAACCCCATCATGCACCGCAACATATTTTTGCAAAATATTCAAACATAAATCTGCCAAATATAAGAGGAACATCGTAGTTTGGTTTAAAGAAAGCAATTTAGTTTTATTATAATTTAGTTTGTTGCAAGGATTTTACAGTTTGAAGAAGTACAAAATTACACCATATGCCAACTGTCACAAGGATGTGCATGACAAGGAAGGGCTATATATACTGCATGCATCAATTAGGTAGTTGATATTATATTATTTCTTGAGCTCCTTAAGCTACTTACAGATATGACAGCAGTCACATCTGTTTGATTACCTTAAATAATTAATTTGTTGTTTCAGCCCCCTTTTTCTTTCAATGGAAGAGTTCACTGTGTGGTTTTAATTTCTGCCACTAGATGGCCCTCGGACAACATTATTGCATAGATTTCACTATAGTGTTGTTTGGAGAGAGATCAGTATGACATTTAATCCATACTGGTAACTGTGTGCACCATTCACAAGTGAGTAGTAATACTTGTGCTTTAACCCCGTTTTAATAAAGTCTTAGAGTTTTATTTTAGATAGTTTTAAACAGTTTTATGTGTAATTTAGAGAAGCTAATTGCTAGCCTTTGTTTGTTTAGCTTTATCTGAGTCTGTTAGTCTTTGTAGCTCTTATTCTCCATTTAACTTGGCTTACTTGTGCTGTGTATCTTATTACTGTTATTTGCAGCTTTTTTTGGTGTTTGTATGTATAGATACTCACATTATTTTTAAGATAACTTAGGCTATGTTCACATTGCAGCCTGAAATGACCCAAATCTGAATTTTTGGCCCATATGCGATCTGGATCTGATCTTTTCATGACAGTCTGAAGAACACAGATTCTATTTTTTCCAATGCGACCCAGGCCACTTCGCTATGTGGTCCTGATTCCAATATGAATATGATATTATCAAATGCGACCTGTGTCTGAACAGCCAGGTCACATTCATCCAACTTGAACGCCATTAGTAACCGACAAAGGTCACTATTCTGCTTATTGCTACACAGAAGCGGCAAGAAAAACAAACACCATGGCAGACAATGATGCGGAGATAAGTATTTTTTTTTTTTATCATCTTGAAAAGATTGAGGTTTTAAGGTTTGGAAAGGTTTCTAGATGCGCTCCTGCACTACATCCATGTTTACTTCCGTAAACACGAAGCACAATGGCTTGTGACGTCATTGCGTCCTCTACTGCACATGCTGGGACACTGAAGTGTGAACGTAGCCTTATATTGTTGTATACTATGAGTACATGTTTACTCCCCGTCAACAAATTTAGTTATCCTTCTGAAAGAAGTAGTCACAGATTAATACTAGAAATTGTTTATTGGTTTGTTCTTCTTGTAGAAACGACACACAAACTCTATACCTGCACAATTAAACCCATTCTCATGCTGTTAGCTGTATTGAGGAATACTGATCCCCAATTAAAGTTTAGAGTAGATAACTTCTGGACCTGGACATTCTGTTATGGCAATATAACTGTTGTCCTGACCATTTGCCACTTCATTTTTTACATCCTTAATAACCTAAGGTAATCAACTTCTTTAATTGATAGGCAACTGTAAGGGAGGAAAGCACCTGCTCAGGTACAAAATTAGCATTTCATTGAACTGACTTACAATCTTGAATTGGAGTACCATAAACTCATAATATTAAAGGTATGAAATAGAATTTTTCTCAGAAATTAAGTGTCCAGATTAATCTAAAATGACTTGAGGGCTGACATCCTTGCACCTATGGTCTACCTATGGTTTACACTATCTTGCTGTCAGTTCGAGCGGAGTAAATGCAGTGAACAAATTGTTTGTTGTGTTGGTCTGCATAAGAACATTGGTTGAGCCACTTCCATATAGCTTGTTAAGGACAAAAATCTAAATGACGATGACGTTTTTATGGTTGGATCATCAAAAGGTAAGTGGTCCTCCTAATTGTCTATCATTCTGATAATATTTTTACGTAAGGACGTCCTTCGTGCTCGTCCCCATTTTCACTTACCGGTGGTCAATCTGACATAGTGGAAAAATTGCAAATCTTCTTTTGGAAAGAAAGCTTGTAGGAGCGATGCAAACAGCAACTTTTAAAGGGATAGTTCGGGATTTTTGACATGAATCTGTATGGCATCCCCATCACCAGTGGCATGCAATCACACTGACTTACCCCTGGCAGCGTCCTGTGAGCAGAGTT